TGATTTTTTTAGAATGACAATGTTATATAGTGCACTTTGCATTTGCATCTAGTGATGTGAGTTGGTAGCTACTGACAGGTATCTATTACTGGTATTTACCGGTTGATATCAATAGTTACCATTAGGTTAATAATATGCAAATGGTGATACCAGCAGTTACCAATAAGTTAGCTTTCAAATCGTATTTTTAGATCTAATAATACGTCTAATATCTACTATTACATGTAGTTAACACCTACTAGCAGCAACTTATCTGTTTTATATCTCAAAATTTTGATCATGAAACCACTTTCAGGGTACTGAGCAAAGTATTTCTTGATAAATTTTACCATAACTATGCTCTACACTAACCTCAACCTTTATCCTTACCCTAATATTAAAGAAATTAAATTTCAGCTAAATAAATCTTATATTAATTGATTATTAGAGGCACCAAATGCATAGAGGCGCAATTTGACATTTTCCTTTTTAAAATTTTTATTAGTCAATAAATGCATACCGATTTTCAGACGATGTTATTTTTAATTTACAAGTTATGCTGTACATATTTGCAAATTACGCAGGCACAGGGTATGTAACGTTTTAGTGTGCGTATGAACTAGCTATTTTCGCAGATCTTTTCTATTTTAGTAAAACATATGCTTATTTTTGGGATCGCCACCAAAATACTAACAAATTTTTCGATCACGTGAAATTATCCAAACGTAACACGATCAGGAAGATCCAAAACAAATGTTCGTTTACAAAAAATCGCTTTTAACTTAAAAATTTGCTTAAACTGAAATTCCTTGGACTCCTTGGACAATTTTACTATATACCAACTCTTTATTAACCTTAAACTAACTCCAACCCTAACATAAACGAACTCTAAAGAATTTGCCGACCTCACGTGATCGAAAAAATTTTGGTGGCAATGCTGGCAAAAGCAATGTACCCACGTTTTAAGGTTAGAATTAGGGTTAGGTTGGTGTTGATATAAGAAAAGGAATATTGGTAAAATTGCCTTCCAGATATTTTTGATTAGTGCCCCAAGACAGGTTTAGACTGCTGTTTTTTTGTCTTTTTGCGTTTTCATGATTTTTTGACTTCTTCGGAGTGATCCGTGTAAACAAAATTTCGCAATTCCAGTTGGTTGATTTACAAAATAGTCATGTGGATACATGGCTTTAGACGACCCTTAAATTTACCAATCTTTGCAGATCCCTTCCATTTTAATAATTATTAAGATTTTCTAAAAAAATCTTAGCTAATTTATAGATTACGTGTTATACTTCTAGCTTATATTTCTGTATTTACAAATTATACACGCACAGGTTGTGCAACGTTTTATTGCACCACAGGCTGCACAGAGTTTTAATGCGCCACAACGTTCTAACCCACCACAGCCTGCACAGCTTTTTATTGCGCCACAGCCTGTGCATGAACCCATTCCTAATCCACGCACTTCTTGCACTTGCGCTTCTTGTACTTCTTCATTATCTTTTATAAATCCAGTCATTTTCTTGAACATTGACTTGACAAATCCTGATAATTTAGATAATTTTTTAATTCGAAATACTTCATATTCTTCTATTTCAAAAGTGTGCTTATCAGTAACTCTTATGTAACAATATTGACTACTTGTACCAACAACTGATCTTCGTGAACTACCACTACTATCACATTCTACCCACAAATCACGGCAACCAAAACATGGTCCTTTGGTAATACTCAAAGCGATTGCTTTTTGTTTATAAGAGACACGACTTAATTTGGGAATTGTTCCATTAGATAATGAAAATATAAAACTCTTTGATGTTTCTTTGAACTTACAACCATCATATTCATCATATATATCATCAAATGTATCACCAAATAAATCTATATCTCTCTTGTTTTGTATAAAATCGTTATCGTACCAATCTAATGGATTATATCCACCAATTATTTCGTTTGAATTTCGAACTTTAATTATAACAACAGTTGGTCCTTGACAATCACAACTATTATGAAACTGATCAATTCTAAAATTTGCACTGCTTGCTCGATAAATAAGTTCAAATTTGTAAGGCATATCTTTAAAACGATAAGGCATTCCATTTTTCTCATCAATCCAACTTGCTATTAATGCTGCATCTTTGGCTTTGATGATTTTAGAATTAAAATAGTGAACTGATTCTCTTCTTGGTAGATCATTATGTTTAGGCTTAGGATATGTTAAATAGTCATCAAGAAGATTCTCTGGTATGATATTTTTATATTGAGTTATAACTGAGTGAAGTTCTTCAACTGATAAATGAAAAAATCT